AGTGCCACTCAGCCAGAAGCTGGCTCGGCTCATGGCTGGCCAGCACAGAGGTGGTGGCAGGAGCCTCTTCCTACCTCCGTGGCAGCACTAAGAATGTCCAACTAATGGTTTAGGCCCGATCCCTTGGGGGCCTAAGCCTTTAGTCAGACATCCCCCGAGGGCTCCCTGGCTGCCAGAAGGATGTCTGACTGCAAGCTTAGGCCTGATTCCCCGGGAAGTGGGCCTAAGTCAACATGGGACATTCCCCAAGGGGTCCTGGACTGCAAATGGGCGCAGGCTGGGCTGAGGGACCCCCCTCCCCCCGAGTGCACAATTTTTTTTGCACCAGGCCTCTAGTCCTATATAATAAAAGGCTAATATGCAAATCGACCAAATGGTGGAAGGACCGGTCGCTATGATGCGCACTGACCACCAGAGGGCAAACGCTCAATGCAGGAGCTGCCCCCTGGTGGTCAGTGCACCAGAAGCCAGGTTCACAGCTGGCAAGCACAGCTAAGGATGTCCAACTGCTGGCTTAGCGGGAGTGGGCCTAAGCCAGCAGTTGGACATCCCCTGAGGTCTCCCGAACTGCGAGAGGGCGCAGACCAGGCTGAGGGACCCTCTTACCCCCTGAGTGCATGAATTTCATGCACTGGGCCTCTAGTTAATATAGATTGTTTCATATAGTGTATTGTTTTGATGAGCTTACAGGAAATAAAGGAAATCCCCTAAGGAAAGTAAAATCTGTAAGTCTCTGGCCATCCAAAAATTCTATGACTTCATCTCCTGCTATTCTCCCTTTTACTCAGAACACCCATCCGCACCAGCCTTCTAGCCATTTCTTTAACACACTCCTACCTTTGGGCCTTTGCTCTAGCTATACTCACTATTTGGAACTTGTCCCTTATCTCCAATGGCTAATTCCATTGCCTCCTTCAAGTGTTTTCTCAGATCTCTTTTCAAAAAGTCTACCCTACTAATATTCCAATTTGTACTCCTGTCCTATCAGGATACTCTCAATCCCCCCTGTACCTGTTCTACTTTTTTCTTTTCCCATAGCAAATATCACTTTCTAATAGATAATCACTTAAGCTGTAAGCCTCAGGCTAGCAAGAACCTTTGTCTGTTTACTTTGTCTGTTTACTTTGTCTGTTTATTGCCAAAGCTTAGAATAGTGCCAGTGCACTGTAGCTGCCCAATTGACATTTGTTGAATGAACAAATAAAAGAATGTATGGCCCAGCCCGGTTGGTGTGGTTCAAAGCTTGAGTGTCAGTCCAGGAACCAACAGGTCACTGGTTCGATTCCTGGTCAGGGCAAATGCCCAGGTTGTGGGCTTGATCCCAGTAGGGGTGCAGGAGGCAGCCAATCGATGATGTTCCTTTCTCATTAATCCTTCTATCTCTCTATCCCTCTCCCTTCCTCTCTCTCTAAAAATAAATAAAAATATATCTTAGAAAATAATAAAAGAATGTATGACTAGATATGGATATCTCTTTCCTTACTCTCCTTGGTATAATTAGAGCTTCTTATATCTATGAATTTATATATTTCATCAGTTCTAGAAAATTCTCACCCAATAACTTTCAAATATGACTGATATATATCAGGGCCTACTCAAGCTATTGTCTATCCCTCTTAGCCACATGATCATATTTTGTCCCTGTTCCACATTCTGCTCTATTTTGGGTAATTTCAGTTCATTAATTCTCTAATTTGCTATTTAATTTATCAATTTAATTTTAATCTAACAATTAATTATTTTATTTTGAAAAGTTCTACTTAGTTCACCTTCTAGTTTAGTCTTATCTCTCTCTCTCTCCCCTTCACTTTATATCTACAAAAAAAAAAAAAAAAGATCTGTTTGTTTATAGTTAGGGGTTCAAAAAGCTGTGTGTGGTGTGTGTTTTTTCATTATTCCTGGGACATTTCCAATGGACCTAATCCAGACCCAGTGGTCATTAAAATTAGTGGACCTCTTAACTCTATTTTCTTTTTACTACCACTTTATCTAGATCATTTAAACCTCAGAGGGAAGGTAGGGGAAGGTAGGGGTAAGGGGGAGAGATCAACCAAAGGACTTGTATGCATGCATATACACCTAACCAATGGCCACAGACAACAGGGAGGTGAGGGCATGAGTGGGGGGGTTAGGGGGCAATGGGGGGGATGAGGACACATATGTAATACCTTAATCAATAAAGAAATTTTTTTTAAAAAGAAGTCATTGTAGAGTCTAAAATATAGAGTTTGGGAGAAAATATGGTTAGTCCCTGTTTGCCTTGCCTAGACACAAACTTTGATAAGAATATGCTTTAGATGTTCCATGAAGACATGACTTCACTATCAAAAAAAAATTTGAAAAGGGCTTTTTTTTTTCAATTTGAATGAATTTTTAAATTTGCCTTTTAAGTTGATTATATATTCACATGCTTCAAAGTTCAAAAAGTATGAAGTTTATACAGTGAAAATTTTCCTTCTCATTCTATTCTGTGGTCACTAAATTTCTCTTCCTGCAAGCAAAAAATATTATATTTCTGTGTATCCTTCCAGAGAGACTTTATGTGTGTACAAGAAAAAATATATATAAATTGTTCTTATAATACAAGTTATAGCAGACATTTTGTCATTTTGTACCTTGCTCTTTTCACCTAACAAAAGATCATAGAAATTATTTAATATCATTAGACTTTCTCCTCTTTATAAGGGAATATAGTATTCCACTGTACAAGTATACCATAACTTATTTAACCAGTCCCTACTGATGGGCATTAAGGTTGTTTCTAGTCAATAGGACATTTAAAGCCAAATGTTGCCACAGTCATCCAAACAAACACTGAAAACTCTGATATTGAATATAGTAGCATATTTAGACTATTAGACCAACATAAAATATTTACTATGTAAATATGAATCTTGCCTTTGTAGAAATAACCATGCTGATCAAATACATGTAGATGTGTTGTAAGTGTATAACTTATATTTCAGAAAATAACATTTTATATTAGTCTTTTTTTCCTTCTTTTTCAAGGAATATGGCACTGTTACCAGCAGTACAGGAATCTTCAGGAACGCCCCAATTCTCACTTAACTATATATGACCTCGGAATTCAGACTGATATAAGCATGTACTTACAACTGAAACAAACATGGTTTGCATTTAGTGAGTGGATTTTAAAAAGTGGTTTTGTTAAAATTGTAATAATGAGAAAGCATATTTTTGTCTAAAGGAAAGCTTGGGTTGGCGTAACCTGTTGAACACACTTATCATTAATATCATTAAAGTAAATGTGTTTATAATTCTACTAGCTACAGTAAATGGAAAAGTCATTGAGTGGGATTTATCCTATAGTCTAAGGAAACATTATTTGACAATGATTTCAAGTTTTTGCCTTTAACTTAAAATGCTTTGTGTGGATGTTTATAGCCATTAACCTGATATTCAAGAAAGGTATTTTAAAAGGAAACAAATGCTTGATTTTTCAAACTTGTTTTAAAAAAAAGAAAAAGGTGATAAAAAATAAAATGTTTATAACAGGAATTTTAAACTATTTATTATAGGAATTGGAATAATAAGTAAATAAATTTATATTTTGAACTATTTATTCAGATTATCAAATTCATTAAGGGTCATATTAACAAAATTTTAAAGCAAGATGATTTCAGAGATGGCTTTAAACCTATATTCCTAGAATGGTTTTATTTTTTTTTATTTTTATTTTTAAATATATTTTATTGATTTTTTACAGAGAGGAAGGGAGAGAGATAGAGAGTTAGAAACATCGATGAGAGAGAAACATCGATCAGCTGCCTCCTGCACATCTCCCACTGGGGATGTGCCCGCAACCAAGGTACATGCCCTTGACCGGAATCGAACCTGGGACCCTTGAGTCCGCAGGCCGACGCTCTATCCACTGAGCCAAACCGGTTTCGGCTAGAATGGTTTTATTATAATATTCTTTGCACTTCAGAGATTCATGTGCTTTCATCAAAATTTTTTTAAATTCTCTAATTACATATTGCTTTAAAAGAAAATTCATCTTTATATTGTTGAAGTTTGAAAGCCAAGTAAGAAATGGTCAAGGAAGCTTGGTAATGGAGCCCAGGGGCTCAGAGGGGTCAGTGTCTTGGTGGGGCATCCTGATTCCAGGTCCGGGTTCCATCCCATAAATTTGATTTTGCCGTGCCACCTAAAAGCCATTAGGCTTTTGTATAGGCTCACATAGTCGCCAGAGTGCCATTTTATTTGTTTATACTTTTAGGTTTACACTATTTTTTTTTTACACTCTCCCTGACTGTCTTGGACACTTCTTTCCTGGGGTCAAAGCATATGGGACCAAGATTGCTAATGAGGAGCTTTTTGAGCAGAGGGCCTCAAATAGCTTTGAGAGCTGTTTCCTTCAGGCCCATGCCAAGCTTGATGACTTAGCCCTGCTGCACAGAAGCCCCCACCAGATTCCTTTGTCTACCCAATGGAATTGTTCTCTTTTCCTTGGTCTTGGTCTTATTTCATTATTTATTTTTATTGATTTCAGAAAGAAAGGGAGAGAGAGAGAAACATCAATGATGAGAGAGAATCACTGATTGGCAGCATCCTGCACACCCCACATTGGGGATTGAGCCAATCTTGGATTGTGTTAGGAAACAGTTGTATTTTCATTTCTACTATTAATTATCCTAGTGCCCAGGCATGTGCCCTGACCAGGAATCAAACCATGACCTCCTGGTTTATAGGTCGATGCTCAATCACTGAGCCACACTGGCTGGGCTGTTCTCTTTTCCTTGGTCAGTGCTGGATGAGAACACCAAACCCTTGCTCTTTGGCTTCCCATTTCTGGCTCTAATCAGACTAGTTCTCTTCACATAACAAACCCATTTTTTTTCAACTATGTTGCCGAAGAATTGTTTCATTTATAGTCATTTTTAACTGTAAAAATCAGACATCTTGGAATTTACATCCCCATCTAATCACTTTCCCTGAATTTGAAGTGATTATATATCTCCTCAGCAACCCACTTACTGTTAGCTATCATTTCTAAAGATGACAAATCTCATCCATTATGTATTGAAACCCTCACATGAATCTTAGTTACAGGTTCTGTGGTCCTCCCACTGCTGTCCCTTAAGGACCTCAGCACAAACATCATTGACTTTATCAGAATCTGCTATTGGAAAATTAAGAGATGGACTTTGAGGAAAATACAGAGCTTGCTTTTATTTTCAAGTCTAGAAATGCTAAGTTTTCCTCAAATGAGCCTCAGCTTTCATAATCCAATTATCAGATATTAATTGATGACTTGTGTTTGGACAAAGTTCTAGGTGCCAGAGACAAGTGCATACATTTGATTACATGAATTGACAGAAACAGTTATACAAACAATAATATAATTTTTATGAATCTTGGATTGTGTTAAGAAACAGTTGTATTTTCATTTCTACTATTAATTATCCTAGTGTCCTCCTCTGTGAAGTTATAATTATACCAGCTTCTCTATAGGGTCTCAAAAAATTGTGTTTATATTGTTTTTTCTCATTCAAACACAAGGAAGGAATGTATTATATAAATTCAAAAGACAGTTAAATTTCTCTAATATAACCATTTTGAACATGTAATTTCATAAAGGTAGAGTTTAATACGCAGTGTTCTTATCAATGCAATTTCGAATATAAAGCAATTCTGGTAGATCTCATATTCTTAAGTTTGTCCAAAGAATATTTTAGCTTATTATGGCTATACTTCACAATTCTGGGCTCATTTTTCTATTTTAAGAGAATCAAATGTGCATGAAAACATCAATACACAGTTTAACTAAAAAAAAGCTATAGTAGCAAAATGATACATTACTGAAATATTCCCACTTACTTGGAAATACTAAATGATATGTGATGTAACATCAGGATATTAGTGGTATAAGAGTAGGATAAAATAATGAGTGCCCTGTCAGTGGAGAGGTGTTCATGCATCAGCAGAATAACTCTCTAGGAAGTGTGTTATGGAATAGATTCTTTCACAGGTGGAAATTTTAATTAACTTTCCATTAAGTTTCTTTTGTAATTTCAGATTACAGTGATATATTTTCTTAATTTTAAGATCATACCTTTTCACTTTTTAACATCTCTGAAGTCAGGGTGCATCTTATAATTAATGAATAGATATTTAATGATGGATTTCTTTACTTTTCCTAAAAAGATATTACTAAATTAAAGGTATGTTTTAGAATTGAGGAAGTATAGTAATTAGGACTATTTGGCTTCAAATAAAAAGAAAGTAATTCAAGATAGCTGAAAATAAAATAAAATTGGAGCAAACTAGGGCCAAGGCAGAGGTATTTTTATAAGAATGTATAAGTATCTTGCCAAACTAAAAAATAAAACAGAAAGATGATTTCAAGTGTACCTAGATCCAGGAAACAAAAGCCAAAAAAGAACCCAAGATTTCTTTCCCCCTCCTCTCTCTCTCTGTCTCTCCGCATACACTCTATTCTTTCTTTGCAGATTTATTTACCTCACATGAAGATAGTTTTGACATAGTTTATTAAGTTTGCATAACTCTTAGTTCAAGAAGTTTATTAACTAACTCAAAACTGACCTAGAATATCTTAGTCCTAATTCTGAGACTTTTATTAGATGGACTGTGTTTAAAACTTGATACCATCAATGGTGGCCATGTGGAGTCACAGAATAAAAATGTGGGCAGCCACAAGCCTGCTATATAAATCTGCAAGGTCAATTAATTAAGAGGCATTGTGCCCCAGCCAGTATGGCTCAGTCGATAGAGCCTCAGTCAGAGAACTGAAAGGTCTCAGGTTCGATTCTGGGCAAAGGCACATAGTACTTCGGTTGCAGGCTTGCTCCTGGGCCCAGCGGAGGCACGTGTAGGAGGCAACCAGTTTATGTGTCTCCCTCACATCGATATTTCCCTCTCACTGTCTCTCCCCTCCCTTCCACTCTGAATGGGGGGAAAATATCCTCGGGTGAGGATTAGCAACAACAACAAGAAAAAGAGGCATTGTGAGCAGGGCAGACAAAAAGTTTCTTCTGTAATGATCTCTTACTCAGTGAAGTTAAAGCAGGGGGGTGAGGGTGAGGGTGAGGATGAGGGCAGGATTGGGGGGATGAGGGAACATTGGGGGGATAAGGACACATTTGTAATATCTTAATCAATAAAGGGGGAAAAAAGTGAAACATTTAAGAGTTGCCTAAGGCAGCCCTTCCTTCCTTCCATGCCTGTTTTCCCATTGCTACAAATGGCACGAAATGTTTCCATACATAAAGTCTGTCTGGTTGAGTTGTTCAAACTTCAGCTAAAGGTTTTCATCTAGATTTCTTAGCATTTCTTGTGGGTTTTGAAAGTGAATTTCTAAGATTGGCTGAAACAATGAAGTGTCTGAGTTGGCAGAAATAACCATGAAGCTCAGTCCTAACTTCTGCAGAGGAAGTTTGTTTTGGGGATTGATCTGTGCTGCACACTGATTTCTTTTTCTGTTTAAAGTGGTAATCCTCAGCATCCTTGAAGTGCTTGTCATCCTCCTGCTGATCTTCCTGAGAGACCGGATCCGCATCTCCATCGCCCTCCTGAAGGAAGGGAGCAAGTAAGACCCCGATGGAAAAACTCGCCTAGAGTGTATCTGTCAGCCCAGCCAGGCACTGCCTATTGTGTAGCTGCCCCAGACTAATTTCCCTTTAAGAAGACTTGTTAAAGAAATTTGCTTTCCCTTTAAGATGACTTGTTTGAGATCAGACAGCCAGTTATTAAAAGGTCATGCTAACATGTCCTTCAATATTCCCTAAAACCTCAATTATCATGGGGTAAAGTAAGGTTAAAACCTGTCTAGTCTATATATTAGCACGTTTTTAAAACACCAAATATATGGTAGGAGAATAACATATGTGAAACTAGGCAATAAAGTGCTATGTAACAGTTATATTGCATGTTGTATTGTTCCCATACTGAGTCACATATTAATATTAATGGCTGAGATCATTTGCAGAACTTTAAACCACCATTATTCTAGAAAGTCAATTACATACTATTACCATTGCCATATGAATGACAAAATTTGCCAATAGAAAGAATAATTGATCCTAGCAGTACTAGACTATATATTTTGTACCAACACCTCTTAATTTAGAAAAACTTTATACTCAGAGCCATTTTTATTTTTAAAATGCTATAAAATAAACACTAAATTTTTCATAAATTCATGCTGGGATATAACACCTATAGTTTCCAAACTATTCCAAAAGGTGACTTGAGAATAGTACTTTAAACTTTTGAATGATGCATGGAAGAAACAAAGAAAGCCCACAGATCATACTCTCTATTTAAGATGATGGAAACTACGTTGTTAATGACTCAGGACCAAATTATCAAACTTGCAGTTTGATAAATTAAACTCTCTCTCCTTCCCACAATAATGGAAGCCCTATCATTAGTCACTGAAAACTACTGATTGTCTGGATTTTGAAGATAATATGATATTGTGCAATTCACTGTTACTTGCCCCCCTGTTATGCCTCTTAATGTGTATATGAGTGTGTGTGTGTGTGTGTGTGTGTGTGTGTGTGTGTGTGTGTGTGTGTTAAGGGGCCAATACAACTGTGACAGGTTGATAGTTCAAGGAAAAAAAAGAGTTGGAATAAATGTGTGTGAGTATACAGTAAACAAAGGGATGCTCAATAATTCACTTAACAGTAGTGTCTGGAGAAAGGAAACAACACTGTAGCTCAACCAGTGATGCGGAGAAGGTAATAAATTTAAAAAGAATCTAAGATGTTTCAATTCATTAGGAGTGGAAATAGTTCCACCAGAGTTCTCAGTGGCTATCTCAAACACTGTTGGATTTAATCCAATGTCATATACTGCAAAGATCGCTCAAAAGTAGTTAGGGACAGGGCAACTAGTGACCATTTCAGAAACTATGTCTTATGAGGAAATATCAAAAGAATGATTATCCTGCAGAATAAAAGGATGAGTTACTTGGAAGGAGTACTGTGTTAAAAGGTGGCCACTTCTTCTCCAGAAGGCAGTGGATGTGAATTACAGGCAGGCAGATAAGGAAGCATTTTCTAATATGTTGGTAGGAAGTAGAATGAGTTGTGTCATATACAAGTAATTTGCTATAAGTGTGGTCACCAGAGGCTTATGACCATATTTTGAGAGAGTACAAAAAAGATTCCTGAATTAGGGAGTGATTCACACATTTGATGAGATGATTGTCAAAGTCCTCTTCAATTTAAAAAATCTAAGAATCTAATCAAAAGGAAGAAATGTTATGATTGTAATATATCAAATCTTTATGAGAAATAAACAAAGAAGAGAAAGTTTGGAGAAATTTGATCAGGATTCAAACATGAGCATTAAAATAATGTCTCTAACTTACAATCAATCAGTCAATCAGTCAATAAAATTTAAAAACCAACTAAGAATATACCAGCATGATCAGCCAATGAGAGTTACTAGTTATGACCACTGTTCTTAGAATTAATCCAGTCTAAGTCTTATTTCTACTTCTAACAAATAAAAAGTTATTAGAGAAATTATAACACTGGATCATTTTGAATTTCAACTATTTGTTTTATTTCAGAGCCATTGGATATGTCCCTACTACATTAATTTATCCAGTTTTTACTTTCTTTTTGCTCTCAATCTGTATTTGCTACTGGGCGGTGATAGCAGTGTATCCTTTGGTAGCTTATCAATTTGAACCTCAGGTCACCCACTATTCAGGAACCAGGAGTTCAGTGGTTTTCATCCTGGGAAGATTAGGAACATTCTAAAGAAATAACTGATTATTTTTTTTCTGCCAAACTCTGAAAAGGTGTCAGTGTCCCGATTGCATTTCCCCTTTTATAGGTCAGATGGTTGATTTTGTTTTATTTTGTCTTCACATATCATTGGTGATAACCTTAAAAAGCTTCTATATATTTCACTGTTTTTAAGAGGCCTCTCAGTGCAGCTGATCCATGTTATATTACTCTGGGTCTGAAGAATGGAAGAATGGACTACTTATTAAAATGTTAGAACTTATTTGAAGTTAATCTCTCAAAAGATATTTAAGTTACTTGCATTTTTTCATGTCTATTTATTTTCAATTTACCAGCAAATAATTTATCCTTAATAGAGTTTATTCAGTTACTTGGCTACATCAGGGACACCCATATACAAAGTCATAACCCCAGAGGGGAAATGTAAATATGAAAATAGAACCTGTGACCCAGACGTAAGTAAAAGAAATTCTCTCTTCTTTAACTTCCATACAGCTCACTACTACATTTCACCTAGCAGTTGTAGGAGTCATCCTGAAATAGAGACCCTGTATAGTGAGAGGGGTCACTCTGGAGAAGGGGAGAGTGGGTCAGGAGTTAGCAGGAGAACACTGCAAAAGGTGGGGGGAGGAGGGGAAATAGAAGGAAAGCTCTATTATTTCCTGATCTCATTTGTTTTATCATATACCCAAGAAGCAGGTATTGTCAACAACCTCACTAATAAATGTGAAACTAAAGGGGGTGAAGAGGATGAACATAAGATAGAAAAGGAAAGATACCTTTCAGAGCTCATTAAAGGATTCTATAAAGTGATGTGATTGAAAATAGGAACAACAGCAGAAGCTCATGGAAAAAGAACAGGACATGCAACTGGAGGTGGGGGTGGGGGTACACAAAACAAAAGGCAGGGTGGGTGTTATCTTACAATAGTATTTACTATTCTATTATCCATGTTGTTTTTCTCTGAGTGCAGATTTTTAACACAACGGAAATGTCCAGAGCTTGCCCTGGTGCTCAGTGTAACTTTGCTTTCTATGGTGGAAACAGCCTGTACTACCAATACATCTCTACCTTCCAGATATTCAATCTATTTATCTTTCTCTGGCTGATAAACTTTGTCATTGCATTGGGTCAGTGTGCCCTTGCTGGTGCCTTTGCTTCTTATTACTGGGCCTTGAGAAAACCTGATGACATCCCACCATATCCACTTTTTACTGCATTTGGACGAGCCATACGGTAAGTACCACATTGAGCCCCACGTCTATTTTCCAAATTATGTTTAATGTACTTATAATTCAATCTTGTGCTTATCATTCAAGAGGTAAGATACAAGTGAGCTCAAAAGTGTGATTCAAGATTTATGGATGTTCATTAGCTCTGTCTGGTTTTATAGCCACAACTTTATATTCCCTGCCCAGGCCACTATTCCTATTTTTCTAAAAATAATAGGTTCCAAGAGAGAAGAGGTAGGGGAGGAAACCATATTAAAGATTAAGGATTAACTTGGCTCTGTCTCTCCATTGCTCAGATCAAACATCTTATATTATGCTGACAGGCTATTAGTATCATTTTTGTAGATAAAGGGCAGAATATATATGTATGTTTTAACACTCTAAACCTTCACCAATCTGGATAGGAGAGTGTAAGACAGTGATGGCGAACCTATGACACGCGTGTCAGAGGTGACACGCGAACTCATTTTTTTGGTTGATTTTTCTTTGTTAAATGGCATTTAAATATATAAAATAAATATCAAAAATATAAATCTTTGTTTTACTATGGTTGTAAATATCAAAAAATTTCTATATGTGACATGGCACCAGAATTAAGTTAGGGTTTTTCAAAATGCTGACACACCGAGCTCAAAAGGTTCACCATTACTGGTGTAAGAAGCTCTTTCCTATCAGTTCCCCTGCACATCCCTTTTACCTAAAAAACTGTTTAACTAACATCCTTTTAGTTAATAGTAAAGATATCTTAACTTTTACTCTCATTTTATCTTTGCCCAGATATCACACAGGATCTCTAGCATTTGGATCATTACTTCTTGCATTAATTCAAATGTTTAGGATAGCCCTAGAATACTTGGACAAACGTATTAAAGGTAAGATTCCAGAATTCATCTTTTCTCAGACTTTCTGACTTTTATGAAGAGTATAGATTGGGCAGGTGGTTGCAGGAAACATGATGACTGTCACCAGGGTAGTAAGGGTGGAGGTGGTCAGATTGGGGATCTATTTGGAAGGAAAAGCCAACAGGACTTGCTGAAAGGTTGGGTATGGTTATGGGGAGGATGTGATGATATTTACTAAGATGTCAAAACCAGGAAAAGCAAATTTCAAAGAAGAGATTAAAAATTGTGTTTGTGACATGCTAATATTGAGAAGCATGCTGGAGTTGTCAGGTAGTTTCAAGTCTAGAGCTCAGTATAGGTTGGGCTTAAAATATAAATATGGGAGTCATTCGCATAAATCTTCATACATGACACATATAGCTTATAAACATATAAACTCTGTTTAGAATGCACTTCGAAAAATTATTAAATGCCAAAACAATCCTGAAACAGAACAACAAATTTGGAATGTTTACATTTTCTGATTTTAAAACTTCATACAAAGCTACAGTCATCAAAACAGTGTGGCACTGGCATAAGGACAGACATATGGATGTGGACTAGAATAGAGAGCCCCAAAATAAATCCTCACATATAAGCCCATTCAATGGGGAAAGGACAGTTTTTCTCAACTACTGTTACTAGTAAAACTGGATATCTATATGCAAAAGAATTAATTTGGACCTTACTTTACATCATATAAAAAATATTTCAATCCAGGTCGGTATGGCTCAGGGGGTGAGCATCAACCCATGAACCAGAGGTCACCCTGGTTGGGGCACATGCCCAGGTTGTGGGCTCGATCCCCAGTGGGAGCATGCAGGAGGCTGATTGATGTTTCTGTCTCGTCGATGTTCCTATCTCTGTCCCTCTCCTTTCCTCTCTTTCTAAAATCAATAAAAACATATTTTTATAAATATATTTCAAAATTGATCATAGACTTAAACATAAAAACTAAAAGTATAAGGTGGAGTCAAAGTATAAGGGGTCATCTGTAATAGAGTCAATGATTTAAAAGTGATTAAAAACTCTTAGAAAAGAGCAAAGGAAGAAATCTTAATGATATTAGACGTGGTGATTTTCTTATATATGACAACAAAAGAAAAAATAAATTAGACTTCATCAAAATAATAAAGAAAGCATCTAGGGCACTTTCAAGAGAGTGGACAATCCACAGAATGGGAGAAAATATTTGCAAATCATATACTTAGATAAGCCACCGATATTTAGAATATCTAAAGAACTTCTACAACTCAACAATACACCCAATTCAACATGGGCAAAGGATTTTTTAATTATATAAAACTTTTTGAGCTTTACTAAGATATTATTGACCAATAAAATTGTAATATGTTTAAAGTGTACAACATGCAAGGGCGGGGGAAAAAAGACACATATGTAATACCCTTTGTAATACTTTAAGCAATAAAAAAAAATAAAATGTGTTAGATAGTAAAAAAAAAATAAAGTGTACAACATGATGATTTGGTATACATATACATTGTAGAAGGATTCCCGCATTCAAGGTAATAAACACATCCATCACCTCACCTCACTTATACTTACCTTCTTTTTTCTTTTTTGGTAAAAACATTTAAGTTCTTTTTTCTTAGCAAATTTTAATTGTTTGCCATGTTATACATTAGACCCTACGACCTTTATCCATCTTATTACTGAGAGTTTGCACCCTTTTACCACCCTCTCCCTATTTCCTCCACCACTCAGCCTGCACCATTCTTTTCTGTTTGTATGAGCTCAACTTTCTTTTTAATTTCACATATAAGTGATACCATGCAGATTTGTCTTTTTCTATCTGGTTTATTTTACTTAGCACAATGCCCTCCACGTCCATGTCTGTTGTTGCAAAAGCGGGATTTCCTTCTTTTTTAAGGCTGAATAATATTCCACTGTCTATCTATACCATATTTCCTTTATCCACTGATACATCAAATGATATGACTCCATATATAAGATATTGCAAATAATGCTACAGCGAGCATGGGAGTGCAGATACCTCTTTGAGATAGTGACTTCATTTCCTTCAGATATATACACAGAAGTGGAATTGCTAGGTCATGTGGTCATTCTATTTTTAATTTCTAGAGGAACTCCATACTGTTTTCCATAGTGGATACACCAATTTACATTCCACCAACAGTGTACAGGGTACCCTTTCCTCCAAGTCCTCACCAACACTTATTTTTTGTCTTTTTGCCAGTAGACATCCTAACAGGTGTGTAGTGGATATCTCAGTGTGGTTTTGATTTTCATTTCTCACATGATGAGTAATGTTGACTACATTTCCATTTACCTATTGGCCTTCTGTATATCTTCTTTGGAAAAATGTTTATTCAGGTCTTTTGCCCATTTTTTAAAAAATTGGGTTATTTGGGGGATTTTTGCTATTGAGTTCTTTATATATTTTGGACATTAACCCTTTATCATATATGTAGTTTCCAATTTTCCCCCCATTCCATAGGTTGCCTTTTCATTTTATTGATGGTTTTCTTTGCTATGAATAACTTTTTAATTGGAGGTAGTCCCATTTATTTATTTTTGCTTTTGTTGACTTTGCTTTAGGTGTCACATTCAAAAAATCATTGCCAATACCAATGTCAACGAACTTAGGCCTATGTTTTCTAGGAGTTTATGGTTTCAGAATTACTTCCAAGTTTTTAATCCATTTTGAGTTGATTATTATGTATGGTGTAAGATAACGGTCCAATTTTATTCTTTTGTGTGTGGATATCTACTTTTCCTAACACCATTTATTGAAGATGCCATCATTTCTGCATTGTATGTTCTTCAGTCCTTTCTCAAAAATTGATTGACCATATATGCATGAATTTATTTCTGCTCTCTCTGTTCCATTCATCTATGGGTAATTTTTCTATCACTACCATGCTGTTTTAATTACTATTGTTTGAAATTAATAAGTATAATGCCTTCAGCTTTGTTCTTTCTCAATTGCTTTGGCTATTCGAACTCTTCTGTAGTTTCATACAAATTTTCGAATTTTTTTTCTATTTCTGTGAAAAATACTATTGGAATTTTGATAGGGATTGCATTGAACTTGTGGATTGCTTTGGGCACTATAAACATTTTAACAATGCTAATTCTTCTAACTCATGAACATGGAATATTTGTTATTTATTTGTGCCTTCTTCAATTTCTTTCATTAATAGTTTACAGTTTTTGATGCACAGGTCTTTTGCCTCCTTGTTTAAATTTCTTCTACATATTTATTGTTTTTGATGAAATTGTCAAGGGAATTGTTTTTTTAATCTCTCTTTCTAATAGTTGTTAATGTATAGAAATGTAGCTGCTTTTGTATATTGATTTTGTTTTCTGAAACTTTACTGAATTTTTTTATGTTCTAATAGCTTCTTGGTGGAGACAGTAGGGGTTTTTTAATATATATGTCATGTGATCTTCAAATAAAGGCAAGTTTACTTCTTTCTTTCTGATTTCAATGCTGTTTGTTTGTTTGTTTGTTTATTTATTTAACCTGCCTAATTGTTCTGGCTAGGTCTTCCAGTACTCTGTTGAATATAAGGGGAGGGAGTAGGTATCTTTGTCTTATTCCTGATCTTATAGGAAAAGCTTTCAGCTTTTCACCTCTGAGTGTGATGTTAGATGTGAGCTTGTCATATATGGCCTTGATTATGTTGAGGCCTACTATAACCAGTTAGTTTGTTAATATTTTGTCAAGGAATTGTGCATTTATATTTGTCAGGGATATTGGCCTATAATTTTATTTTCTTGTTTACTTGTCTGGCTTTGGTATCAGTATAATGCTGGCCTCACAAAACAAGTTTGGAAATGTTCCCTGTACTTCTACTTTTTGGAAGAGTTTGAGAAGGGTTGCTGTTAATTCTTCTTTAAACGTTTGGTAAGATTCATCAGTAAAATCATCTAATTCTTTTATTTGTTGGGAGGTTTTAGATTTTTGAATCAAATGAAATTTTCTATTTCATTATGATTCAGTCTTGGTAGGTTGCATGTTTCTAGAAAGTTGTGTCCTCTAGGTTATCTAATTTGTTGATATATAATTATTCATAGTAGTCTCATAATTTTTTATATTTCTGTGGTTTTAGTTGTAATGTCTCCACTTTCATTTCTGTATTTGTCTTTTCTCTTCTTTCCTTAATTAGTCTAGCTAATGGTTTGTCAATTTTGTTTATTTTTTCAAAAAACCAGCTGTTCCCTTCACTAATCTTTCCTATTGTCTTTTTATTTGCTGTTTCATTTACTTACACTTTGGTCTTTACTACTTCCTTTCTTCTACTAACTTTGTGCTTAATTTGTTCTTCTTTTTCTAGTTTCTAGAAGTGTAAAGTTAGATTATTTGAGATCAGACTTTTCCTTAACACAGGTATTTATTGCTATGAACTTCCCTCTAAAACTACTTTGGTGCATTCCATCTACTTGATGTGTTGTATTTCCATCTTCATTTGTCTCAAGATACTCTTTGATTTTTTTTTAATCTATTGATTGTTCAGTAGCATGTAGTGTAATCTCCACACATTGGTGAATATTCCAGTTTTTTTTCTTGTTTTATACCACTGTGGTCAGTAAAGATAGTTTATATGATTTTAGTATTTTTATATTTATTAAGACCTGTTTTGTGGCCTAACATTATCTATTCTGGAGAATATTTCATGTGTGCTTGAGGAGAATGTATATTCAGCTGTGGTAGGATCGAATGTAATGTAAATGTCTATTAAATTCTTCTGGTGTAACATGCAATTTAAGTCTAATGTTTTATTTTTGATTTTCTGTCTGGATTGCTCTACCATTATTGAAATTGGAGTATTGAAATCCCCTACTATCATTATATTGCTGTTTATTTCTCCCCTCATAAGTTTATGTATTTAGGTGCTTCAATGTTGGCTGTATAAATATTTACAATTTTATATCTTCTTGATGAATAGACTCCCTTTCACTGTGTCTTGTTACAGGTTTTGGCTGAAAGTCTATTGTGTCTAAGTATAAATACACCTGCTTTATTTTGGTTTCCATTTGCATGAAAAGCCTTTCTTGAATCCTTCACTGTCAGTCTATGTGTCTTTAAAGGTGAAGGGAAATATTGTAGGTAGTGGATAGTTGAGTCTTTTTTTTTTAAATTCATTCAGCCACTCTGTATTTTTTATTGGAGAATTTAGTCCACTTATATTTAAGTGTAATTCTTGATAGCTATGAACTTACTACTACCATTTTGTTAGTTGTTTCTTGCTGCTTTATAGACTTGTGTTTCTCTCTTCCTCTCCCCTTCGGTCTCCAGGCCGATGCTCTATCCACTGAGCCAAACCGGCTAGGGCTCTCTCTTTCTCTCTTCCTTTGTGCTTAGATGATTTTCTGTCGTGGTATGCTCTGATTCCTTCCTCTTCATCTTTTTGTATGTAGTATAGGTTTTTAGCTTTGTGGTTATCATGAGGTTTACACAAAACATAACAATCTATTTTAAGCTGATAACAAGGTAACTTTAAATACTTCAAACACATGTAAAAGTTCTACATTTTTACCCCCTCCACATTATATACTACAATATTTTTGATGTCACAATTTACATATTTTTATATTATGTATCAACAAATTATTATAAGTTCTACTTATTTTTATTACTTTGTCCTTTAACCTTCATACTAAAGTTGTAAGTAACTTACCCACCACCATTACAATTTTAGAGTATTCTGATTTTAACTATAATAGACTTGTGTTTCTCTCTTCCTCTCCTTTTTAAAAAAAATATATTTTATTGCTTTTTTACAGAGAGGAAGGGAGAGGGATAGAGAGTTAGAAACATCAATGAGAGAGAAGCATCGATCAGCTGCCTCCCGCACACCCCCTACTGGGGATGTGCCTGCAACTAAGGTACATGCCCTTGACCAGAATCGAACCTGGGACCCTTCGGTCTCCAGGCCGATGCTCTATCCACTGAGCCAAACCGGCTAGGGCTCTCTCTTTCTCTCTTCCTTTGTGCTTAGATGATTTTCTGTCGTGGTATGCTCTGATTCCTTCCTCTTCATCTTTTTGTATGTAGTATAGGTTTTTAGCTTTGTGGTTATCATGAGGTTTACACAAAACATCTTATAGTTTTAACAATCTATTTTAAGCTGATAACAAGGCAACTTTAAATACTTCAAACACATGTAAATGTTCTACATTTTTACCCCCCCTCCACATTATATACTACAATATTTTTATGTCACAATTTACATATTTTTATATTATGTATCAACAAATTATTATAAGTTCTACTTATTTACGGTGTTCACGCATCATGCTGCAACAAGGCGTGTTAAGGTTTCGGTCAAGTGCAGGGCTGGACTAGGCATAGTCCGCCTGCGTGAGACATAGCCAGTTGTATCTTCCTTCCTGTCGATTTTTTAAAAAATATATTTTATTGATTTTTTACAGAGAGGAAGGGAGAGGGATAGAGAGTTAGAAACATCGATGAGAGAGAAACATCAATCAGCCGCCTCCTGCACAACTCCTACTGGGGATGTGCCCGCAACCCAGGTACATGCCCTTGACCGGAATCGAACCCGGGACCTTTCAGTCCGCAGGCCGACGCTCTATCCACTGAGCCAAACCGGTTTTGGCGAGTTTTATACTTTCATATATTTTTATGTTACTAAATTAGCACCCTTTTGTTTCATCTTAAAGAATTCCCTTTAACAATTCCTGTAAGGATGGTCTAGAGGTGATGAACTCAGCTTTGGTTTGTCTGAAATACTCTATTTCTCTTTCAATTCTGAAGGACAAACACCGTCAGGTAGTATCTTGATTGACAGTTTTTATCTTTCAGTACTTTAAATATATAATTCTACTTCATTCTGGCCTGCAAAGTTTCTGCTGCATAATCTGCCGATATTCTTATGGGATTCCCCTTATAAGTAATGAGTTACTTTTCTTCTTTGTCTTTAAATTTTAACTTTTGAAGATTTAACCTTATGTGTCTCTGTGAGTCTCTTTAGATTCATCTTTTCTGGTATTTTTTGGGCTTTCTGGATATGGATTTCTGTTTGTGCCCTAGGTTGGACAAGTTTTCAGCCATTATTTCTTTGAATAAGCTTTATGCATTTTCCCCTCCTTCTGGGATCCCTAGTACATATATATTGGTCTGCTTGATGGTATCCCATTAAGTCTTTAAGCTAACTTCATTCTTTTCACTCTTTTTTTCCCCTCTTTTTGCTTCTCTGGATGGATTCCACTGCCTTAACTTTGAGTTTGTTGATCCATTCTTTTGTTTGCTCTAGTCTGATATTGAACCCCTCTATTGAATTTTTTAGCTTAATTATTATATTCTTCATCCCTATGAATTCTGTTTGATACACTTTTTTTTGTATTTTTCTATCTCTTTGTTGAAATTCTCACTTTGCTCATGCATTGCTCCCCTGACCTCAGTGAGCACTTTTATCACCATTATCTCTGTTTCATTAAGATCAGTTTCTGGAGCCCAGACAGTGTTGCTCAGTGGTTGAGTGTCAACCTATGAAACAAGAGGTCATATTAAATATATAATTCTACTTCATTCTGGTCTGCAAAGTTTCTGCTGAATAATCTGCTGATATTCTTATGGGATTCCCATTATAAGTAAGGAGTTACTTTTCTTCTTTGTCTTTAAATTTTAACTTTTGAAGATTTAACTTTATGTGTCTCTGTGAGTCTCTTTAGATTCAGAGAGAGTCAGTTTCTGGAGATTTATCTTGTTATTGTTCATTTGAAATTTATTTCCTTATTTCTTTATTTTTTCTTGATTGTTTTGGTTAATGTGCATTAGATGAAAAAGCCACCTCCCCCCTTATGTCAGACTGTCTCATATAGGAGATGAACGCTATCAATTAGCCCAGCTCAAGCTTCTGGTTCTCTTAAAACTGTAATTGTCCTAGCCACCGTAGTGACTCTTGGTGGCTCCCAAGACCTGTAGGTGTCTCAAAGGTGAGGATCATAGGCAAAACCTAGGTGCAGGCTGATTAGAAGCCAGATGCTCAGACAGCAGCTGGGAAAGTATGCAGTTTAGCACCTTTCAAGGAGAAACTGGGAGGTGGGTGTTTTGCCTGCTCCCTCTGCACAGAGACAGGGTGTATAGCCATGGTGGTGGGTGTGGGGAGGGTGCTCTTGCACCATTTAAAAATTGCTTCTTTGTTTGCTATAGTCCTAAAGAGTCATGAATGCAAGACCTGTTGGCTAAAAGGGCCAGAAGAACTGGGAACCGGCCCTCGGGCAGCAGTCTCAAATGCTGTGGCACCAGGCATGTGTACAAGCAACTTCTAAAGAGATGTTGGTGACCGAGTGTTATAAATGCAGTGAGATAGAGACAGGAGGTGGTGGAAGTGCCTACCAGCTTCCACAGGCTCCATGGAGGATCGTAGTTAGCTCCTAGATGCATGCAGATTAGAAAGCCAGAACCTTGGGTTGCAGGTTATAGAGTATGCAGTCAGACCCCTTCCCCAGAAAGACATAAATATAGGTGTCTTTGCCTGAGCTCTGTGTGCTATGCCCTGAGCGGATAGCCACAGTGAGTACCAGCACATGTGCCTGTTAAAAACTGCCTCTCTGTTCCTATGGGACTTGTCCACATAAGCCTGTTGGCTTTCAGAGCTAAGTGTTTTGAGGTCCTGTCCCTTGGGTGGGAGCCTTAAAAGCTGGAATCCTAGACATGCTGTCCAAACCCTTCACTCCTCAGGAGAAGCTGAGAATTGGATATATCATCCCAGTTGTATGGTATCGTGCAGAGAGTGTATTGGGTGGTGTGCCTCAGCCTTTCCTACCCATTTCAGTGTGGGGTTTTCTTGGTTGTCTGATGTGTGTGAGTCACTGAGCTAGCCTTTGGATTTCTCTCAGAGGAGATTACTACATGTATAGCTGTATATTCAGTGCATCTGTGGAAGGAGGGAAGTTCAGGGGCCTCCTGTGTCATCATCTTGGTCTCACACAAAGAATTGGCACATACATTGCTCTAAACAAGGTTATATAAGTGGTTAATAAGCACATGAAAAGAGACTCAATATTAATCGTTTTGAAAATGCAAGTCAAAACCACAATGAGGTACCACTTCACAGCCATTAGAATGGCTACTGTTAAAAGATGGAATATAACAAGTGTTTGTAGGGTGAGGATAAATTGGAAGTGTAGATCGCTGGTGGAAATGTAAAATGGTGTAACCACCATGGAAAACAGTGTGGCAATTTCTCAAAAATTAAAAATAGGATTTCCAGCTGATCAGCAATTGCACTTCTAGAGATATATACTCAAAAGAATTGAAAGCAGTGGCTCAAACATACTTGAACACCAATACTCATAGCAGCATTATTCACAATAGCCAACAGTAGAAACAACCCAATTTCATCAACAGATAAAGGATAAAGAAAATGTAATGTACACATACAATGGAATGTTATCCAGCTCAAAAAAAAGAATGAAATGATAAATCTTAGAAACTTTATGTCAAATGATATGAGGCATCTAGAAGAAGCAAATTCATACAGACACAAAGTACAATAGAGGTAACCAGGGACTGGGAGAAGGGGAGAGCGAGGAGTTATTTTTAGTGGATACAGAGTTTCTATTTGATATGATGACAAGTTCTGGAAATGGATAGTGATGGTTGCACAACATTGTGAATGTACTTAATGCTATTGGATTGTACATTTAAAAAGAGCTAAAATGGTAAATTTTGTATATATTATATTGCAACTTTAAAAATATAAAGCCATTGAAAAAATTTTAATTTATTTTTTGACTCAGAGAGTTTAGTTGCAAACCATTAATAGATGTAAATATGTCCTTATAGATAACCAGAACAACATTGCCAAATTTCTACAACACTGCCTGAAATGCTGTTTCTGGTGCTTGGAAAAAGTGGTAAAGTTTTTGAACAGAAATGCCTATGTTATGGTAAGTAGATTATTTTTTATTTACTAAACTTCTTTGCAAACCCAAACCCCATGTCTACATTTCCATCTCTAAATCACTTTTAGATCATGCAGTTAAATTTATCACATCTATATATATAAAAGCCTAAGCAACTGAAAGATGTGCACTAACCAACAGGGGGCAGATGCTCAACGCAGGAGCTGCCCCTTGGTGGTCAGTACACTCCCACAGCCAACCTTCTGTTGCCGGTCAGCCTCCCATGGTCCCTCCCCCTGGCTGACCTCTATCAGCCCCAATCCGACTGGGCGAGACAGCCCCCCCCATCGGCCCTGATCACCAGCCAGGCTGAGGGACCCCACCTGTGCACGAATTCATGCACCAGGCCTCTAGTATGGATATAAGAATTTGTGATTCTTATATGTGATTCTTATTTGTGAGCCTATGTGATTCAGGGCAATGTTTTCCTAGTTGAGATAGAAATTAGCTGCACTTCATTATCACCTTCAACATCTCTTTGGAGAGGGAAAATATTTATCTTGGAAATTTTAAAATGTGCTAGATTGAAAATGATTTTGTGTGTCTTTGATATAGTTTATTGATAAGAAAGTTTAGTCTATGTTTCACTCTGAGAAGAAAAGATCTTTCTAATTTTGTGATTTATATATTTTAAAGGAAGGGTCTGTTCCTTTTTTTGTGTGAATCTTATGTTGAGATATATGGCAGTACCTAACTAAATTTGTTTATTTCCTGGGGGAATATGGAGGCTTCTAAAGAAATTTTTAAATATAGGGGATCCAAAAATAAAATTATTTTAAAATTTAGCAACTACAGTCTAATGACACTTACTTATTCTCACAGTGACAAAGGGTCTGCAGCAATGCTTCAAGTAGTCATGGAGATTCAAGTAATCATCAATATACTTCCAGTGAGAATGTTGTATTGAGGCTTTTCATCAGTCAATCAAGTGTGTGATTGATTTGAAAGGCACTGGGCTTCTGAGAGTAATTTTTGTTGTTGTTAATCCTTACCCAAGGATATTTTTCCATTGATTTTTAGAGAGAGTGGAAGGAAGGGGGAGAGACAGAGAGAGAGAGAAACATCAATGTGAGAGACACATTGATTGGTTGCCTCCTGCACACTGCAACCAGGGCTGAGGATCAAGCCTGCAACCAAAGTATGTGCCTTTGACAGGAATTGAACCTGGGACCCTTCAGTCCAGGGGCCAATGCTCTATCCACTGAGCCAAACCGGTGAGGGCTCTGAGAGTAATTTTTAATATGATCTCTACAACATTTAACCCATTCAGCAATAAACCCCAGCCAAACACTTCAAAGACAGAAACCATTTCCCGAGATTTGAGAAAACTGTTTGAAGTTGTCTAATATCCATAGAGTTTAATGGAATATGTAGCATCTGAAGCAGACCTTATTGTCAACAAACCTGGAGTTGTGCAGAGTTGAGGACACATAGTTCCCATGCCTCCCACAAACCCAAATGTTGGAAAGAGAAATGAGAGTACATGGCTGTATGGGTGACAGAGAATTGATTCATTTTCCTGTTATTGGATTGTCTCTTGGTCTTATCAGGATTACTGACTCCAGAATAATAACTGTCTTCCTCAGATTGCAATATATGGCAAGAACTTCTGCAGGTCTGCAAAAGATGCTTTCGATCTGCTGATAAGAAATATTTTAAAGTAAGTAATCAGGTTGAACATTGCAATCGATTTGCTGAACCTTGAGCATCACATACTTCACATGTTACTGAAGTGTTGGCAGTCATCTTAAACATGAATATCATCTTTTTTAAAAAATATATTTTATTGATTTTTTACAGAGAGGAAGGGAGAGAGATAGAGAGTTAGAAATATCGATGAGAGAGAAACATCGATTAGCTGCCTCCTGCACATCTCCTTCTGGGGATGTGCCCACAACCCAGGTACATGCCCTTGACCAGAATCGAACCCGGGACCCCTCAGTCCACAGGCCGACGCTCTATCCACTGAGCCAAACCGGTTTCGGCGTAAACATGAATATCATCTTTTAATTTGATAGATTTAAATCTTCTCTGTCACATCAATCATTTATTTTTATATCTTAGAATTGTTGCTGCCATCACTCACCAATGTCTTTACACCCACTGGCATTTATTTAGTTTTATTCCCTCTTTTTAAGAAATCCCTCACATGGACATTATCATGTCTCTGGCCATTTCCCTCTCCCAAAATTGATAGTCTGAGTGAACACAATCAGAGAACCAAAGCAGCATCCTTTGGATTCAGGGTGTCTAGGCCATGAGTTAGATAGGGAGGCTGACACCGCCAATAGTGCCCAGCAGCCCTACCATGTCATCTTCTGTTTACTTCATTAAAAATGAGCCAGGAATTCATCCCAGAACTTCAATTCTTGCATTTAACAAATGCCAAAGTTACAGCAAATATGCATCAAAATGAACTAATGAATTATTTCTTCTCATAAATTTCAAGTAACACATGTAAACACAAAATTATGCTTTGTTTTTTTTCCGATTCTTAGAGTTGCAGTTTTGGACAAAGTTACGGACTTTGTACTCGTCCTGGGGAAAATACTAGTTTCTGGGTGTATAGGTAAGTAATAATAATAAAAAGTTTACAAGGTGCTTAGAGAAACTACTACAAAAGCTATGTTCCTTTGCAAATGCATAATATATATGTTCTGCCTTTTCATTGTAGGTGTCCTGGCATTTTTACTCTTCACACAAAGAATCTCAATAATTATAGAAGGACCAACATCTTTAAATTACTACTGGGTACCTTTGCTGGTAAGTGCTGGTGTCTTAGTCCAGGTGCTGTAACAAAATACCATCGACCGGGTGGCTTAAACAACAGGAATTTATTTCTCACATACTGAAGGCAGAGAAGTCCAAGGTCAAGGTGCCCACAGGTTAGGTTCCTGATGGTGGCTCTCTTCCTGGTTTGCAAAGGGATACCTCCTTGCTGTATCCTAACGTGGTGGAGAGAGATAGTATCTCTCCTGCCTCCTTTTATAAGGGCACTAATCTTATTCAAGAGGGCTCCACCCTTAGAACCTAATTACCTCTCAAATGCTCCACCTACAAATACCATCACATTGGGGATTAGGTTTCAACATATGAATTTTGAGGAAATACAATGTATTCCATAGTAACTAAGTATTATTGACTCTGGTTTATCAGAGATAGCAAAAAAAAAAAAGTACAAAAAGGAATATGAGAGATCATAATAGCTAACATTATTGGTCTTCCTTTGTGCCAAGCCTGCTTTAAAGGTTGGGTTCCTTGGAAACAAACTCTGAGACAGAGGCTTGCACACGAAAGGTCTATCAGGAAGTGTTCTCCTGAGATACACTTTTAAGGAAGTGAGGAGGGCAGTCCGGGCAAAGGAAGGAGCTGACCCAAGTTGCAGTGACAGCTGAGGCCTTAGGCATAATAACGGAATTTCTGACAAAGGGACTGAGCTTCTATATGTTGCCCCTGGGTGGGGCTGTAGCCTTGGCTGAGGCAGTTCTCCGCAAGGAGGGCAATTTGTACTGAAGGAAGCGGCCTACATTCCCCAAAACTGGGGGGCAGATGTGCAGCTGTAGGGGACCTGGGTGGAGTCCTCTGGCATCTATTACAATATATTAACTCACTCAGTTCGTGTGTCATAAATACTATTATTATTCACATTCTCCCCTCTCCCACCTACACTTTTATAGAGGAGGCACAGACAGGTTAAGTAACGTGTTGAAGAAACACCTGAGCTGTGATCAAACCTAAGCAGTGTGTGCTCTTAACTCCTATGCTTTCCTGCCTCTGTGCACAGAATCCTAAATATGGGATATATTTGGTAGGCATTGAGGATAGTGGTAAGAAAATTGGCAGGTGATCTAGTACATTTTGTTTAAATCCCAGTACAGAGCACTCAAAAACATTATCATTGAATATTTTTTGGTCTCTATATTGAAATCTTCCTCAACACAGAGCACTTCCAAGCTCTCTCATGGTGACTTTCATTAAAGCTGCATTATTGTTCCGCTAGACGAGTTAATGACATCGTCATTCTCTCCTTTTCCTCATTTACAGACAATCATTGCTGGATCTTACCTAGTTGCACACGGGTTCTTCAGCGTCTATGCAATGTGTATTGATACAATTTTCATCTGCTTCTGTAAGTTTTCAGAATATGTGTTTCTCCCCTTCAGTGGATAACCAAGGGACGAGGATAGATCCATGCCCATAGCTGGCTTGTAGGTTTGCTATGACCTGGCTGTAATCGCAAATCTTTTTATTTGGAAAGAGACATTGTTGAGTGGATGCTCTTAAAACCTTAATGGCCGAGAGAACGCAGTTTGCAAAGCACAGAAGAGTCAGCTACTAAAATGAACCACAGGCTTCATGGCATGGTGTTAACATATTTCCTAATGTTTTAAAATTTATAATAATGATTGGCTTCTGTGGTGCTTTATTAACAGAACTGAAGACATGACTGGGCTCTGGAAACTCCTTGAGGAGAGCCTTTATAGATTCTGGTAAAGCCAAGCTGGCACTGGTTTCAAAGACACATGGGGACCAGTTCACATTAGGTAACACAGTGACAAATGGGGAGGATTCATAGAGGAGCATGTCCAGGAAATGGCTAGATCAATTCTGATGCTTAGAGTTAAAATACGTGCTTCTTTAGAGCTTTCATCACTGACTTCCTGACTGTGCCTGTGTGACATGTGTAAGATGCATACACGAAATGGATATGTTTTCCATTAGCATTTCATGTTAAAAGTCCTGGAGAACCTAGAGCCCATCAGGAGCTTGATCTGGCTCTCACCTTCCATCTAGGGCAAGGAGGGTCAGCAGGTGAGAGCAGAACTCGTTAGCCCTACAGCTGGACCCTCTGAGAGATTATTTCTCTGGCACATTGCTCTTAAGAAAAGTAGAGAAAACATTCCATAACAGGGCATTACTGAGTAATCCACTCCCCTTGTGTAAAACTAAATTTGTTTTTTTTTAAATATATATTTTATTGATTTTTTACAGAGAGGAAGGGAGAGGGATAGAGAGTTAGAAACATCGATCAGCCACCTCCTGCACACCTACTGGGAATGTGCCCGCAACCAAGGTACATGCCCTTGACTGGAATCGAACCTGGGACCTTTCAGTCCTCAGACCGACACTCTATCCCCTGAGCCAAACCGGTTACAGCGTAAATTTGTTTTTAATATAATCCATAAATATCAACTTCACACTGGGGTCAGGAGAGAAGATAATAACCTCAGGGAGAAATAGTCAAGGCAAATCGCCTATAAAATGGTTTGACCTTGTTTTTGTTTAGTTTTTCTTTCTGAACATTTAAAAATCAATTTTTAGTAACCGAACAAAGAAGTTGGGGGGACTTTGTGTACCAGTAGCTCTTGTTCTGGCTGTAAATGGAACTGGAATGTTTAACATTTTCCTAGTACCCCAGTGGTTTGTTAGGAAAAACCACCTGAACAAATCTCACACCTGAGCTGGAATGAGAAGCGTGGGGTAAGGTAGTGCCTAAGGCGGAGTAGAGAACTCTCAAATGTTCCAAGATCTCTTCGTTCATCTCAGACACTAAACATGGGGACAGTTCTGGAGGCTCTCACTGGGATAGTCGCCGTTCTTGTAACTAAAATGTTTCTCAAAATATATCTCAGGAAATGTCTAGATTAGAACCTACTCTTTCCCAGTCTTTGGAAGCTTTGGCAAATCTTGTGCATTTTAATTTTTACAATGGATTTTAAATTTAAGCAATGAGAAATGTTTTCTACCCTTTTATATTAATAATTGCTAGCTTCTTGAAAACCAGGTGTACTTTTAGCTCTATTCAATATGTTGTGTGTTGAACATGAATTGTTTCCTTTCAGGGACTCTCACTTTTGATAATAAAGAACAACGAAAGCAAATTGTATTTCTCTTCCCTTCCCAGCTGTTACCATGGGCAACATCTTACTTTGGCAAACATTCTTCTTACATGATACTCTAAGCCAAATTATGACTCTGTAGAGCTGTAGCTTTTATTTTTTATAAATCTTTTTTTTACCTAATATCTTGACTACCAGTAAAACTGGTGTTATAAAACATGCGAACCATTTGCAAACACTTCATTTACAGAAATATGACATCTTTTTAACATTACAGGGCACTGAGAATTTTGATCCCAGGGTGGGAAAAAAGAATAGTTGTAGATGATTATTAAAATGATCCATGCCAGGCTTCCTACCAAGACCTCAAGGGTGATGACAGCAACATATGATTTGTGATATATGGTACAGAAATATGATTAAGGAAGAACAAAAATGTTCGGTGTCTCTCATGTTTCCTCCTTAGATTTTCATGTTGTGTGTGAGGAAAATCACTGTGAGGTTTAATGCAGAAATCTAAACAAGCAATCCACCATTTCTAAAAGACTCTGATGAAAAATAATTTAGATGTATTCCACAAACTATGATCATATGGTTTTGTATACTATTACTTATCCTTTATGTTATAATAAATAAAGGCTATAAATTACAAATCTTTTACAATGTATTAGTCAAAACCTAGAATCAAAGTGCATTTATATATTTATTGATAGATATTATCTGCTGTGAATTGTATGTATGAAACTTAATTCTCAGCATCATTCTGGTACTTCCCCCCAACCACCCAACAGTGAACTCCCCATCTCTTTATTATAAGCCTAGGCAAAGCAGCAAGGTAAATTCATGTATTACGGAAGTTAGAAAACACTAGTATTTACTTTTAAATGTAATCTGAGACAGGCTGCAAGGATTTAGGACAGGATGCCTTATAGAAGTAAATGTCAGAAGGTTGGGTCCTCACCTCATCCTGATTGCCCGAGAGCTTTTTTATTTTTTAAAATATATTTTTATTGATTTCAGAGAGGAAGGGAGAGGGAGAGAGAGAGAAACATCAATGAAAAAGAATCATTGATTGGCTGCCTCCTGCAGGCCCCCTACTGGGGATCAAGCCCGCAACCCAGGCATGTGCCCTGACCTGGAATGGAACTGTGACCTCCTGGTTCATAGGACAACGCTCAACCACTGAGCCACTGTGCTGGGCGCCTGAGAGCTTTCGACTTTAGGAGGATCATTTTACATCCCTGGGTCTCAGTTTCTTCATGTGTAACATTAGGGTCTGGACTACCATTAAAAGTGGCTTGGAACTTTGAAATTCAATTACTGTTCTACATTTATCACAGGAATAATACACCTTTTATTCAGCTTTATCTCAGAGGAGGTGGCAATTAAGCTTTCTGAAAGGAGCAGCCACAGAATTTAAAGATGATGCTCTTGAGAGGACATGACAGATTTTGTTTACCTTTGAACCATCAACATAACCTTGTTGGGGGTGGGCGGGGCTTAGGAAGTGTCACGCTTCCTGGCAGAGGCTGATGCTTCTTCCTTTGTGCAGCACCGCAACTGGACTGCCCTCGTTTGTCTTGCATTTGACTTTCTAACGCTGATTTCTCTCATTTCTCCCTGTTCGACTCTCCAATTTATAAAAATGCGTCTAATTGTTCCGCCGCTGCTGGCTGCCTTTGCCTGCGTTGGCTGCTGCACATCCAGGTGAAGATCTGGAAAGAAATGACGGATCTACAGAAAAGCCCTACTTCATAGCCCCCACCCTGCACGGCATTCTGAACAAGAGGCACCTCGTTCCCCCGAAGCAGAAAGAGTAGAAAAGCTCCAAACAGGGCCGCTCGCTTTTAAAGTAGTTTTGTGAATTCGGTCATTTGTAATGAGAAAAGGATGCTGTTGCGTCATGTAGAATTTCCGTGCTGGTTTCTAAAAAGCCAGACCCTGGTACCACCTGAGGTGCCGGGCCTTGGATCACAGTAGCCTCCGTGGACCGGGATACGTTCTGGACTGACTGTGGTCCCTGCTGAAGGGCAGTGAATGGCATACTTTGTTCTCCTGAAGTCTATCGCCGAATGTGTTCTAAAAGCTTTTATAACTCGGCGTGCTGTTTCTCATGGCAGCACTTTAATAGCCTTTCTTGTGATACATGTATATTTGTAAAGGATATTCAGGCAATTCTTGAAAGTGCTATAAATGTATCATGGATTAGCCATAAAAAGATTGATTTATAGTTAACCAGCATATGGGACTGAATTTGTAAATATGGTGCTATGGTCACATTTGTACTGTTCAAGCTAGTGGACAACTCTCTAAACTGTGATTACACTTGTATTAATGGATCCCTAGGAAGTATATTTCAGTGGGTGATTCACGTTCATAATAAACATGTGGATGGTAATGTTATACAGGTCCCATAGAGAGCGTTACTAGGTAAAAATGACTGTGGAACCTGCACAGCCCGCTTCGTTTTAGTGATATTGCATTTATAGTGAAGTTGAATCTGAGTTCTGGAATGTTCATTTTTAATGAACCTCTGGCCACCATGAAAGTATCCTAAACAAAACTGAAATGGCCACATAACGTATTGTCTTTTGTCTCAGCCTAAAGAGAGACAAATTCCTATTTTCCTATTCCTACCATATAAAAAATTGGTATGGATTTGTTTCAGAAGAGTGATTATACCTTTTCGTGAGTTTACCTGTTTTCCTAGATTGAAGAGATTGGCTTTGTTCTACAAAAGGTTTGATTTTAGCCCAACTTTCAGTGCGGAAAGAGAAAAGATAAGTCACTTTGGATTTCCCCCTAAGGAAACATGCTGTTAGTCCTCCAGAGATCCCTCATCAGGCACCTTCGTAAGAGGACATACTATGGGTTAGAAAAGCTGTCCCTTGAGGCCTGAGGAGGAAAGTTACTGCCATATTCCACCCCTGCTGGCCATCGCAACAGGCCAGTTTCTGGCAGCCATGCCTGAGGCTTTTGCATGAAAGCATGAGTCAGACATTCATGCACTTTGCTTACCCATCCTGTGTGCAAGTGCATAGGATACAACTAACAGTGTAAAAATGTACCCCAAAAGGAGCATTGAATCAAATTGTATCCTTTTGGCTTTTACTAGTACACTAAGCTTGTATAGAAGGATAATAATTGACGGAAAAGAACACGTTGATCTAACATTTTTATCTGATTATGATCCATATATCCAAGAGAGTATCATTATGTTACAGACTACTATAAATACTAATTTATGTAATGATCCTAAAGTCTAAGTGGAAACCTACACGTAGACTGACTTCATGGCAGTAATAGCAAGAAGCCAATGAATAGGGAAGATATTCAAAATATTGGCCCTTGCAATGGCTTAGTTTGAGATTATTGTAGTCAAAAGTGTCACTTGGCTTCTCAGCTCGATAAGGGGCTTTCTTCACGCTCGTTCTCCTTGAAGTGTAATTCAGAGAAGAGTGACAAGCTGTCTTCCTCGGTGGTTATTATTATTATTTTACTATCCAACAATACAGGGGTTATAACATCTAGTAATATAGTTCCCTCTGTCTTAAGTGTTGAAAATTATAAGGAATAAGTCCACTTCAGGAGTAGTCAAAAAGTTCATAATGATGAAACAAGACAACTTTTAATTTTTCTATGTATCAGAATCACTGATAACTTGTTATAAATATAGATGCTTGTGCCTCACCCTAAGAGATTCTGATATATTGCGCTTGGGTGTAGGGCATCTGGTGAATTATTACAAAGTTTTCTAGTTGATTCTGATGCACGTAAAAAGTTTTAAAATCACTTGAATAAAATATAAATCAATGTGTGAGAAGCTAGTTGCCTATTTTCTCCTTATATTCGTGGCTGTTCTAAGAGTTAGAATATTGAGAGGCAAAGGGGATTAATTTGGAGACTTCTAACAATGGTAGATTTTTCTATAGTTTAGATTCACAGTGCTGTATTATATGTTTAACATTATATCTACTGATTAGGCCAGAAAATTGTCTAGAGTAAACTTGGCACAAAATCATAAAAAAGGGAATGCCATTTGATTCAATATTCTAAATAATTTATTTAAAGCTTAAGTTTTAGCTATATTATAGGCTTATTACTAGTTAGAAAATTAGTCTCCATTAATAACTTCTTTGTGTAATTGAAACATATTAGGGTAAAAATGAGCATTGTTTTTGAGGAATAAAATTTAGAAGTCACTTTTTTTTACAAAGAAAAACTAATTGAAAAACAGCAATATTTCTCAAAATTTGCAATTTAAGGATTTGAAATATTCTAAAATTTATCAATCTTATTTCTTAAAACTATACTATCTGAATTGTTTATGGCCAAAATAAATTTTGAACAAATGTGGTCATTTATAAATAAAATTGAGAACATAGTACTTTTTTAAGAAATTTGAAGGTGAATTTAGGTAATCCTGGTGAATCTTGTAGGTTTTTTGTCTTTAAGTTTGCTTTCCAAAGAAGGTAAACCCAATTCCCTCAGTCATGCAGCTGAGAGGCATAGACTATTGGCAGAACCTCACCTGGAACACAGAATGAGATAATATCTTAACGATGTACTAACAAGGGCTGATTGTTTTCTCATAGTTATGTTTACAATAATGTTGATGCCAAACTATGCTGTTAAAACACACACACACCACAAATACATTTTTGAACTGTGGTTAAGCAAGAATGCAGCAGATGGCGCTGTTACTTCTCTTACAGTTTTGCTTTGATATTTACTCTGTGCCATTCTTCCTCCTAGTGGAAGATTTAGAAAGAAACGATGGTTCCACTGAAAAACCCTATTACATGAATCGCTCTCTGATGAAGATTATGAAGGTGAAAAGTACACAAAGTACGAAGCAGTAGAGGTGCAGACCGATCACCTGCAGCGGTGTGTACCCCTTTCCTCATCTGCTCTGTCTGATTCACAAGCCTCTGTGTTTGGAACACTGTATTCACCACCTTGTTGGCTCTTATATGCATGTTTTATACCAAAGCTTATACTGTAATGTGTGAAGCCATCAGATGTCGCAAGGGAATTGTTAATAACATGGAACATTTTTATACTGAGACCTTTTGTTTTGTAATTCATTTTTAAATAGAGTGGCTTCGATGTTTTCGAAAATACTAGTGACTATGTTAATATTCTTTTAAATATTAGATTGAAAAATGATACATGGTTTAAATTGAGAGCTCCTAATGTATATTTTTTAAATCACAACTAAAAGACTTCTGCAGGGAAAATTGGTAAACAAAGCAAAATAGAAAATTTTAAAGTTTCCCCACTCCTGCTTGGCAGTAAATGGGTAAAAGACCGCCCAGCTCCAGATTTTGCTTGAAGTGTAGAATGTTTCCTATTAAACAAATTGCCAACCATCCAGCCTTTACTACTTCGTCCTCTCTGACAAAGTGCCTTACTGGCTGTTTAATATTACCCAGCTTTTGTGGGCAAGTTTACAAACATTGTTTTTAAAAAAACAAAACACCTGCAATGTTTAGTGATTAAAACAAGTCTTCTTGCATTTGTTTTCCTCTTAGCTCACTGGTTGGAAACCATTTGTCATTTCAGTGTGTTTAATATCCTCGCTCTACAGAGTGCATTGCAGCATAAACAGATCCCTTTGCGCCTAGTGGACATTCATGAATGTGTACACGCAAGAAAAAAAATCTCAAATCTGAAAGGACACTTGTTGTGTTTCTTTTTTTACTAAAAGTGAGAAGTTTAAAAATGTAATCTTTTCTATAGTAGATCTTTGAAAATACAGTAGGTATAACAATACATTTCTCAGTGTTTTACACAGACTAAAAAGGGAAACTTTGAGAAATTATAAAGGAAAACTTTACCCCAAGAAAGGGTGCTACCAGATGTCATGTATTGAATAGTTCCTTTATAAATGATTGTTTATTATCGTCAAGGAGTGTTCTATGTATGTTATTTTATTTTTAAACTTTTGATATGAAATAATCAGTTTACTTGTAAGATATTCATTTTTATTGTGCTAATGTAAATAGGAGCATACTTTCTAATTCAATTTTAAATGACTTTCCTAGTACTCTTAACTTGAAACAAAATGAATGCTGTTTGTTATAGAGAGTCCATAAAGCATTCACCGTAAGCAATGTCAGTCTCACATGATAATTTGTGAAAGTTTTGAGAATCAACAGTAAGTTACTATCAGTTTATCTATGATCACAGGTGTTTAAATGTGACTTTAGATAATCTCTTATGCCAAAAACAAACTCACATGAGCACGTGACAGTCTGAGCTCTATAATCAATGGGTTTCTGCTATGCAGAAATATTAGGTCCATGTTGTCTAAATACCTTTGATAATGAAAATATTTAATATTTAATGAAATTTGTTGTTACTCATGGTTTGAAATCTATTTGTTTTCTTTCTTCTAATAAAGATTTAGATAAGAAAAAAACTGGCTGCCTTCTTATTTCTTTAAGCTAGAAAAGGAAATGTCGGGGTTTTTTAACATCTAGATTTATTGTTTTTAAAAACTCTATTTTTCTCTAGCTGTGCATTGATTGCCAAATCAAATAACTGAAAAATGATAATTTATACAAAATAAATAAATAAAAGCTAAATGGATAAGAGATGGATTGTTTTCATCCAATGGCCAAAATTAGTTAGTTGGTCTTTGTTTTAATTTGCCACAGGTTTACTCAGGCCCTCATTTGGTTTTTCCAACATTCATAAGAAGTAAATCTCATAATTTTAAAGACAGGAGTCAATTTCAACAACCTAAAAAATGTTAACATTAATTAATGATAGTTTTCCAAGGTAAGATTAAATGTCCCAATCCCTGGTTAATCTTAACATTTTTCTTAGGTCCAGATATACCTTAATAAATGTATGAGTCTATTTTTAAATTGAATTATATATTAAATCTTCAAAGTAATTTTTCTTTAAAATGTAATAGGTTTCTTTAAATAAAACCATAAAACAATGTTCATGCTATTTCCAGTGTTCTTTTTTAATGTCCTAACTTTAATAAGATGCTAGCTAATATAGCTAATGATTCCTTTCTACTTAAAATAATAAAATAGTTTGGTATCCAGAAGAAATTCAAATTCTGCTTTAGATCTTAATAACTCTTAGTTTTAGATCATAAAGCCACTGACTATACTTGTAAATAAATTGCTTGAAATTGGACTCTGATTTGATTTTTCTGTGTGCCCAGAAAGCTTAAAAAGAGTTTGTGAATCACACAGTGGAATCACACTATGCAAGGTTCTGTAGGACCATCAGGCATAATCTGTTTAAACTCATATTGGAAAACAGGCCCTGCGCAACAATTCCTTATTTTCCTTTTACTACAAAGCTGACCAGCACTCATTCCAATGTATGTTCTTTCACTTTTACAAGTGGTGCCTCAGGAAATTGCTCTTGAACTCTAACTAGGCATAGTAATTATCTCCAGTATTATCTGGTTCTGGACTGGGGAACATGCTTTATGAATCAGTCTTTGTTGGCATAAGATATGGGACAAAATTGAACTAAAATCATTATTGCAGACCATGGTATATGGAATGGTATCCTGACATTTTTTTCCAGTTTCTTGCAAGTTATCCTATGATGTTTGCAAAATTTTAAAAAAAATACAGCTCTGTGATTATAAGAATACAATTTAATAAAAAGAAATATCTGACCAATATAGCAGGAATAAATTACTTTTCCAAAGATACTTTCCATGTACCATGTTTTTAGTCTTGGGGCTTAAGTGGGTATTGAAGATCTCTCTCAGGACCTAGCTGAGTTCCTTCTGGTCCTCACCCAGAAAACAAAGCCAACACCCATGAAAAACAATGTGAAACCACCCTATATAATAAAAGCGTAACATGATAAGTATCCGACCAGTCAACCTTAAGCCCACTGCTCAACCAGTTGCTATGACGCACACTCACCACCAGAGGGCAGATGCTCCGACCAGTAGGTTAGCTTGCTGCTGGGGTCTGGCTGATAGGGACTGGGCAAGAGGGCCAGACATGCCCTGGAGCCCTCCTGAGGTCCCTCCCTGGCCAGCCACCCCTGATAGGCCCCAATCAGGGCCGGCAGGCCAACCTCCCACAGTCCCTCCCCAGCCAGCCTGCCCCCATAGGCCCAGATCAGGACTGGGTGAGATGTACCCAATCGGCCCTGATCACCGGCCAGGCAGAGGGACCCCATCGGTGCATGAATTTGTGCACCGGGCCTCAGGTTCATTTATGAGAACTCAGTGCCACCTTATGCAAGGCTTGGACATAGGGATGATGTCACAGTCATGGACCTTAAAATTTATCAGGACATATTGAACCTCCCTCTCCTCCATTTACAACTTTCCAATTGCTTGGAATGAAACAATATGGAATCTGGCTATATTTTCTCTAATGGTTTCTGTGCTGCTAAGCATGGGGACAATGTGACACATTTCAAAGCAACCAATTCAAGTTAACTATTTGAAGTCACTAGCTTTTTTTTTTTTTTTTTCAAATCCCTTGGCTCTTTTTTCCAGTTCTTTATACATATACTGTAGGATTGAGAATAGCTTAAGTAAGTGGAGAAAACTATCTTCTGCCCTTCTACTGCTGGCCCCAAAACATGGGCATCTTCATATTCTGGGCTTTTGCTGTTAAAAAGCAGTGTGTTAACAAGGGTGGGAGAAACTTATCAAACAAAAATATGTTTCCAATTTGCCTATCAATTAAAGTGAGTCTGGACTTGATTCGTTGGGAGATTAACCTTGAAATCTCCACATTCTTCCAGCCAGATGGATGTATGTTGCTACATGTGTGTCTGCAGGACACAGAAAGGAGAAAATGAAGGTAAAATATTGGGAAAGCAGTGGAATCCAAGAACAGAACAGAAAAAAGCTAAGAGTATATTTTTTAAAATCTTTAGTGGGATCTAAGAGGTCAACATTACAGAAATTAGGGTGCCTTCTAAAAGCACTTCATAAATCTATAGAAAAAGAAACTCAAGAGCAGATGAGAAGCCAGTAATTAAACAAAAATATTTTTTCCTTTTTTTGGTAAACAGCATTGAAGCAGACTATGTTACAATAAAATTAATCACATAGATGTATTTAGCCCAAACAAACGAAA